CTGTGCCCCTTGCCCATCCCCCCAACCTCCCTTTGAGAAAGACTGGAGAGCCCTCCCCTGTCCAAAGCCCAGCCTTCCCTTCACAAGTCGTCCCCAGGGGTCTTCGGGATCCTGGGCTATTGATTACGGATCCTTGCCGATCTCCCGTTCTACAGAAAAGATACTTCCCTCAAGCCCAAATCTCCTCACCATCTTTTACCCTCACCCAAACTTCTTAAAACTGACACCTGCCTCTCCCACTTGCTTCTCTCCCATCTGGGGTTGGCTCAGGCTCCCACCGAAACTGCTGTCACAGGTCTGGGAGGGCAGTCCTGTCACTAAATCCAGGAGTCACTTTTCAGCCCTTAGCTTCTAGATGCCCTGTCCTATTGTCTTTGTAGATCCCGTGAAGTCATCTTCCTCCCCATCACGGGGGCACCACCTTCTTCCACCTTGCCTCCCACCTCTGCTCCCCCTTGTTGGCTTTACCCCCTAACATCCTCCTGTCCAACGATCGTATCTGTGTGCGGACGTCCCACGGACATCTCAAATCTAACGGATTCAAAATCAGATCGGGTGTCTCTTCCAGCCCTGTCCCTCCAACTGTGTTCACTCGCTTAAGAAACCAAATGTCCATTTTTCTGGCTGCCCAAGCTGGAAAACAGGTATCATCATTCTTCACATCATCCTATCTTATCTATGGATCCCACCTCCTAAATAGCTTCTTCATCTGCCTCTTCTCTCCCATCCAACTGTCCCTGTCATTCCCTGCTTAAATGGCCACAACGGTCTCCTCTCAGGCCTCCTGGCTTCTGATTCCCCAACCCTAACACATTGCCTGAATGGTGTTGCTAAATCATCTCTGATTATGAAACTCCCCTGTTTAAAAACCCTCAGCAGGGCTCCATGGTTCTCATGCTGGAGTTCACACTCTGAGCTCCCGCACATGGCGTTCCCTCTGCTTGGAACATCCTGCCTTCTTCAGGCTGTTGATTCAACTCCTACTTACCCTTCGGATTTCTGTTTAGACTTTCCTCCCCTGGAAAAGTTTTCCTGTTTCCCCACGGCTGTGAGATCCTTCTCAGATGTTCCCTTAAGTGCTTTTGCTTATCGTACGATTACTGTGATTGTTTATTTCCCTCTTGCCTAGCTAGCCCTGGGGCTGGCACAAATCAGGACATTAATAAATACTTGCTGAAACTTAGGAAGGGAAGGAATTACTTTCCACCAATCGTTCTCAAACGTTCTCAGCAAGCATGAGAATCACTTGGTGGGCTTGTTAAACCTGCTTGCTAGGCTCCACCCTCAGAGATTTTTTTTTTTAAGATTTTATTTATTTATTTATTTGAGAGAGAGAGAGAATGAGAGATAGAGAGCACGGGACGGAAGAGGGTCAGAGGGAGAAGCCGACCCCCCGCCGAGCAGGGAGACCGAAGCGGGACTCGATCCCGGGACTCCAGGATCATGACCTGAGCCGAAGGCAGTCGCTTAACCAACTGAGCCACCCAGGCGCCCAACCCTCAGAGATTCTGATGGGAGTTTCTGCTTCTGTCCTTTTGGGGTGATATCCCGGCATTTGCACTGCTAACCAGGTGATACTGTTGCTGCTGGTCTGGGACCACACATGAAGAACTTCTGCTTTATACACTTTATACACTTATATATTATTCTATTATTCAGTCTGCAAGGTGAGGGATGGTTATTTTTAGAGAAGGCTGGTGGAAGTTTTTGGAGGCTTATACATTTCTGGTACCTCTCTTCTTCATAGCTTCCTTAATAAGAACATTTCATGAGAGTTTAGCTTCTTAAAAAGTTCTCAGAAAGCTGAGTGGGCTCTAAGGTAACCAAAGCCCACGCCCCATTAGGGATCAAAAGCAGCACCTGGTGGCTCCTTAGTCGGTTGCCAGGCTACGGAAGAAAGGTGAGGGTAGGGTGTCATTAGCAGCTGGAAGAGAGTTTAGAATGAGCTACTGAGGCATGAAGAGAGGGTAGACCTCCCATCAGGAGAAGACTGTGGAAACCAGATGCAAGGAATCCCCACGACCATTGCCTTGATTTGCACGTGGAAGGGCACGTCATCCCCTTGAGGACAAGTTCATGCTGCAACTTGTCCTCTAATAGGACTGGGGAATATTTTTCTCAGAAGAACCACTGAGTTCCCGTAAGGGACATTTCTTATGGGTAAGAAATGACTTAGGCTTATCACCACTTGCTTTTAAAAAATAAGCTCTATTGGCTTATTTTTGATCATAAACTACAATTCACATTCGAATATTTAAAAAGTACAGAAAGGCATGCAATTCCATGTCCCCTGAAGGACATTTTATTAAAGTTTGGCATGCATCCTTACAGAAAAAAACAAAATTAACATAAAGGGGGATTATTCTATATATACTTCTCTATAACGTTATAAGAAAAAACTTAACTGAATACAGTGGGCATTTCTGCATCCATACTTCTAATTCTACTTCATTAACCGTCATAGGAAGTTTTATTGTGTGGATGTACCATATTGTACTTAACCTTCCTGGATGGGCATTTAGATTGCTTCCTGTTTTTTTTGCTGTTATTAGCAATCCTGCAGTGGACAACCTTGGACATACCTCTCTGTGCATTTGTGAGGTGGAATGGCTAGATCAAAGACAATTTGTATTTAAAGTTTAGCTACGAATTGCAGGTTTCCCTCCAGAAAGGCTGTGAATGTATATTTCCACCAATAGTATGAGTGTCCATTTCCACATACTCTCACCAACACTTGCACTTATCAGTGCTTTAAAATTTTTTATAAGCTCTGTTACTTTAATTTTTCATTTCTTGGATGACTTTCTTTGGGCACTCTTCAAACACATTTTTTTTCCCCTTTGTATTTCTTCCTGACTTGTCTGTTCAGTTCTTTGCCCCTCTTTTTATAGGAATTATTCATCTATTTTTCTTACTGACTTACAAAACTATATGTAGAGAGATTAATACTTGCTCCAGTTTGTTGCTTGTTTCTCTTTTTTTTCCACAGTGCCATACAGATGTCCTTGGTTTTTAATTTGTATACAGTTGAGTCTGTTGGTGTTCTATGAAGCTGCATATTTTCCTTTTAAAATAAAAAAATAAAATCACAATTCCATCTTTTTTTTTCCTATGAGGAAAAAAAAGAGAATGAAGCAAAAGAAAAAATAAAGACAGAGAGGAAGAGAACTGTATTCATGTTTATTCAATTCTCAGGAGATATGGAGTGATTCTCAAACTTTACTTGGAGACCTCATTAAAATGTAGATTCAGGTTCAGTAGGTCCTGCAAGGGCCTGAGATGCTGTTTCGAATTAGCTCCCAGGTGAGACTGAGGAGGGCCAATAGACCAAACCTGCAGTAGCGAGGTTTTAGGTTATGACAATGGGGAAGACACTGGTGGCCTCAGTTACAGTTCTAACTTCACTTAAATGATCACTTGTTTGAAAACTCCTCTCTCTCTCTCTCTCTCTCTCTCTCTCTCTCTCTCTCTAATTAAGCATGGGAAATCCTAACTTTTTGCTCTGAAAAGTAGGAGACAGCCGCAGCTCATTTTTAAAAGAAAAGCAAGTCCGCTCTCATGGAGTAAAATCCCTCCATCTCATGGTCTTTTAGAATATATGGCTAAAGATTTTAATTTTATTATTTTTTTATATTTGTGCCTATAGATTTTTAAAGGTAAGTATACAAGGATGAAGTGTTCTCTTCTTGAGAACTTTTTAGGCTGGATAAAAATTAAATGGAGATATTAATTGGCCGTTATAGGCAGAAATAGCCTAGCTCTGTGCTGACTAGTCCTCTTCTGAGCATTATAAAGGAGTTTTTCTGTATTATTTTTTTCAGAAAGAATAGCTACAGTCTAAACACATCCCTGAAGACAGTAATCTAATGAGTCATGTAAAAGGCAACATAGTCTAGTTGGGGGCAAAAAAAATGTTAGAATAGCACTCAGGAGAGCTAGATTCCTACTCTGGCTTTAACGGGGTTACTTTGTGTATGTTAAACTTCCCTAGTTTAGTGCCTTCAACTGTAAGATGAGGCGATGTTCGAGCCTCACTGACCCAGGATGATACAGGAATAAAAAATTGGAGGAGATTTTGGAGTAGAAGTGATATCACTGCTCCTCTTACAGCCTATGGTATACTGGCTTAGGCTTTCTAACTTCCAAACAAGTTTCCACAACACTGTCTCTGACATGCAAAACAAATTGTAGCAAAAGAGGCTCTGGACATTTTTTGAGTGTCCTGAAATCAAGAAGTTGCCTTTGCCATATTCATGCCTATGCTGTAAAAGCATATGGGCACAGCTTGCTATTTGCAAGGAAAATGATGGGCATGTGTTTCTATTTGAAAAGAAAAGGTTAAATACGGACTGGACTCAAGGGTAGTTTGGGACAGCACTGCCCAGTTGGTATGAGGAACAGGAAACCAGCGTTTATTGAGTGTGAATTATCTCATTCCCTTGCGACAACCCTGTGAGATGGGAATTATTTCTAACTTCTTACGGGAATTTAGAGTCAGCAATTTGCCCAGATTTCACAACTAGAAAGACGAGGACCTCAAAGCCCTCAGCTCCACTCTTAACCCTCACCCCCATCTCTGAGCAAAGCAGCGTCACCTCTTTTAGCCTTAGTGTCCCCAACTGTACCAGTGACAGCCCCTCTCACACAGGGGGATGGTGGGGATTAGTGCCATGATGTACCTGCCCAGGGCTGGCCCACAGTAAGTGTTCAGAGCACAGTAGACACCGTTTCTCTCCTAGGCTCTCGTAGAGCCCCGGAGGTTAGAAAGGACGCGGGGCTGTTGCAATGGAAAATAAAAGTAGACACGCCCCCCTCCCAGTCTCATCCACCTGTCCTCAGGGACAACGTACCCAAAGGGTGCGTCTGTGCTGTATCAGGAAGTGCCCACTAGCGCTTCTCACTTTTCTGGCCCTCCCTGCATGGCGTGGGAAGGGGGCAGAGCCCTGGGAACGGATCTAGGTCAGAATCCACCTCCTCTATTTGGCTACTGTCCTTGGGCCTCAGTTTCGCCATCTTTCCTTCACACGGTCATTGTTGAGACTTAATAAGGGTGGGTAGTGCCCAGTAGGTGCTCTGGCAGCGGGAACTGAGACGTGGCTCTCCTCTCCCTCGCCTGGGGCAATAAACCGAACAATCACAGCAAACCTGCACCCAGTGTGTCTTGGGGGTCCAGCCCCGAGCGAGGCGCACGCCCTGTCCCGCTGCCATCACCACTTACATGATCTCAGTCATCACATGCCCCCAGGCTCCTCCAGGCCAACTGCCAACAGCATCAGACTGTGTGTCACCTTCCAGGCCTCCTCCCACAAAAATACTGGCCTCCCAGCCTCCGGAGCTCTTAGTTCACCCCATAAACTCTGCTAATGCTTACCACATGCGGCTGAGCTTGCGCGCCCCGCCCCACGCCCCTTCCGCGGGCTCCCCAGGCCTGGCGCTAGGAGACCCTGGCTCCCAAGGGACCCTTCTCCGTAGGGGACCCTTCCCCGCTGGGAGAACTTCTCCCGAGGGGACCCTTCCCGCTAGCCGACCCTCCCCCTAAGAGACCTTCTCCCTAAGAGATCCTCCCTGTGAGGGCCCCTTCCCCTAGGAGACCCTTCCCAGAGACCGGCCCTCCCCTCGGCGGGAAGCGGCCGGCACTGTGGTTCCCGCAGGCCACACATGACCTTGGACGCCTCTCCAAAGCCAGCGTCCACTCCTGGCAACAGGCGGCGGGTCTACACCCAGTGGTGCCTTTTGTTGTTAAGAATTGGAAATCCGATCGCGCTTGTTTCTGGTTTGCAATCACAGTAACTTGGCGCTTAAACACTCGAACACCCACCCTCTGGCCGGAGCGGGCGGATCCCGGAGGGGCTGGGGGGGTGGGGGGGTGGGGAGGGCCGGCTGGGGGCGCCGGGAAGGGCGCGCCCACCTGCACGGGCCAGCGGCTCTGCGGCCCAGCCGACCTGCTCCTCTGCCGCACGTGCGCCAGCCCACCTGCGCGCCCGCACGTCCCGAGGAGGGCGAGGCCGGCGCCGCCCTGGCCCCCACCCCTGCGGCCCGCACCGCCCCCGCCCGAGCGGTCGGCCGAGCGCTTGCGGAGACGCCGCCGGCCTGCAGTGCTCGCCGCGCGTCCCTAGGGGGCGCAGCCGGCGCGGGAAGCCGCCGAGGCGAGCCCGAGGCCCGGCGCGAAATTCCAGGCGGGCGGGCGCGGCGAGTTTGAAAACAGGCGAGGGCGTGGGGGCGGGGCGCGAGGCCCGCGAGCCGCCTCCCCGCGGCCAATCAGCGGCGGCGGCGGGCGCGGGCGGGCGGCGCGTGCGGCCGGGCTGTGAATGGGGCGCGGCGGCGGCGGAGGGCGAGCGCCGGCGCGCGGGCGGGCGCACTTTCTCCTCAGCGCCGGGCGGGGGCGGCGGCGGCGGCGTCTCCTCTTCAGCGCCCGCTGGACCCTCCGGGAGACGTGGCGCTGCCGGGGCGCTCCGGCGGCGGGGGCGTTCGGGGCGGCGTGACGGGAATTTCCCCCGCTGACAACTTCTCCTCCGCCGCGCCCCTCCGCCGCCCCCGGCCCCCGCACCTGGCGGCTCGGCCCGCGGCCACCGCCCGCCCGTCCGCTCGCGGGGCCCGAGGCCGGGCGCGGGCGGCGGCAGCTCCTCCTCAGCATGGCCCGGGGCAGCGGCGGCGCGGCGGGCCCGGGGCGGCCTCGGGGGTCCTCCCCCGGCCCCGAGCGGCGGCGGCGGCCCCGGGGAGCCCTCGCGGCGCCCGAGAGCCCCGGCCGGGACGCGGGGGAGCGCGGCGGGCGGCCGGCGACAAAGTTGAGCGCGGGCCGGCGGCGCGGATGGTGGGCGCTCCTGGCGCTGCAGCTGCACTTGCTCCGGGCGCTGGCTCAAGGTAGGCGGGGGGCCGGGGCGCGGGGCCGGGGCGAGTCCGAGCCGTCGGGCCCGCGGGGCGGCCGGCGGGGCTTGACGCAGCGGGCCGGGCAGCCGAGCGCTTGCCCGCCGGACGCGCCCTGCGGGGCTCTGTCGCCGGCGGGAGCGGAGCCGTGCGGCCCCCGCCGCCCAAGTTGGGAGTCGACCGCTCGTCGGAGCCCGGCGCCCCCCGCGGGCGGCCGGCCGGCATCTCCGCCGGACCTCGGATCCGCCGGGCGACAGAGCCCCGCAGACCCTGCCCGGGTCCCGATCCCGCACGGCCGGCTGCCGGAGTCCGGGGCGCGGGGGAGGGGGGAGTGCAGACCGCCGCGGGCAAAACTTTGGGTGCCCGCGGCTTCGCCCCCCTCCCGGGCTCCCGGCGAGAGCGCGGCGGGGCGGGGCGGGGGCGCTAATGGGGAGCGCAGCTTGCGGCGGCGCGGAGGACCGGCTGCACGGGGAGCTTCCCGCTTCAATCTGGGTCCTGTGAAAAACCCACTGGCCAGCAGCATCCTTCTCCGCCGAAGTTGGCTGGTCTGAAAAGGGTAAAGATCCAAGCAGACAACAAAAATGCGGGCATGAGTAGGTGCCGCCTTCGGGGGAGGTCTCTAACTCGGGTTAGCGCACCCCTGCTGCTTTTGGCAGCTCTGGGAAAGCGGGCTTGGGTGTTCTTCGCGGCGTGGCCGGGGGCGGGGGGGGGGGGGGGACACACACTCCTGTCTCTGGAAGGAGCCGGCACTGACGGCGATGGGCGCTCTAAACTTAAATTAGCGGTGCGCAGTGTCCAGTGGCGGCGATGTACGTGGAGGGACGTGTCACAGTTGGGAGGTAATCACGTCTGCAAGGTATGAACTCACAGCTGTCCCCGGGTAGTGCAACAACTCGCTCGCGGTTCTCCTGTTGATGCTGACCTAATGTCATCTCGACCGTGGTCCTCCCCGCCCCCTCCCCGAGGCTCTCCTCACACCTGCTTTTCCTGTTTTGCTGCGTGAAAACAAATTGCCGTATGTCTGGTTAACTCCTCCATTGCTAGGAAAATTTTCATTTCACCGTGTGTGCGCGCGCGCGTTTCTTTTTGCCTAATGACTGACTTTGGTAGAAAAGCGTTTATTAAGTCGTTTTGTAAAATGGGATCTGTAGATTGCTAGAGAAGCCAGGTTCGGACGAAGAAATCTGAATCACTGAGGGCTGACTTTTAAAATGGAGATGGTGTTTATTATTTTCCTTTTTTTTTTTTTAAAGCAGTGACTTGCACTCTGCAGTAAGCCCTGTACATTTGTACATTTGAAGATTTGTGCATAAGTTCACATGGCGGTGGTGGTGGGGAATCTGGTGGTCTTGTTCTTAGGTATATTATAAGGATTTCAAGTTCTCAGTTGCACTCTGAAGGCTGTATAATGTGTCGTATTTTTACAGCTGTAATGCTAATGAAAATACATAATTAAACTGCACTAAGGCAACAGTTAAACTTTGTCGGGAAGGAATATTTTATTCCTTGCTGCAAGTGAAAACATGGGTACCTGTTTTACATTTATATGGTTTGTGAAAGCGTACAGGTCTTTTAGTGTAAAATTTCACATGGGTTGTCACAAATTTTAAATTCATTGACAGGCTTCTGTTCTTTGTGCTCTGTGAGATGTGTAATATATCCATCATTTTTTATATCATATTGAAAATTCATATTACTGGGGAGATGTCACCATTTGACAAAAGCTCATGTATCTTGAAAATGAAAATTCCGGTGCTGCTATAGAGATTTCTGATGGGATGATGAGTTGGTCATATGCAAGCGAATCCGTTCTCTTGAACCTTGTCAGATAAAATGTAACATTCTAAATGGAATGCTTAACACCAGGCTGGAACTAGTCATAAGTACCATATTATTGTGTCGCTAGGTGAAGCATTTCCTAATTTCTCTTTGTCTTCTAATGGTATTTCATGTGGTTAGGCTTGGTCATGATATTTTGGGAGAAAAGTGCGACATTGACTAGTAAAAGTTACATATAGTTACATAGCCCAAGTTACATAATTGGCCATTAGGAGAAATACCAGGTTCGGATCTTCCAAATATAACTTTAATATGTTTTGGGGACATATATGTCCAGGAGCCAGATCTGAGTGAGTTTATTTAAGTAGGCTCCACTCCGAATGTGGGTCTTGATCTCACGACCCGAGATTGAGTTGCTTGCATGCTCCACAGACGGAGGCCAGCCAGATGTCCCCAGACCTGGGTGTTTTGGGAGGATGCCTTCTGGGGTGAACGATGGTTGGGTCATAAGTATCATATACGTTTAGTCTGTGATGCCCTAGTTTTATTGCTAGATCTTTGATAGGCTTGTTGATCCTGGTAATGTTTAGTATAGCCTACTACGTTCAATATAGCCTCCTGTGCCAACAGTTTATATTCATCAGGCTGAGAGGGATAGAAATGCTCTCCTCAGTTACTGCTTTGGGGTTGTTCATAGTTCTCAGTTTCTCCTTTGGAGTTATCACCACTTAGATCGATGCTTCTTGAACTTTGGTGCGTATCAGAATTACCTGGGGAAATTTGGTGATCCTGTAGAACCACAGCTTGCTTTCCAGGCGATTTTGATACACACCAGGGGTTGAGGACACTAAGTTAGAATGCCTTATGTCTTTCTTCATTCCAGTTACCTGCTGCTTTCCTGGAGCCTCTCTGGCTCCATGTTTCTCCTAACTGGGTACGCACTGGAGTCACGGAGGAGCTTTAAACCATATAGAAGCCTGGATCTCATTTCCAGAATTTGAGGTTTGACCTGGGCATCGGATTTAAAAACTCCTCAGATGATCCTAATGTTCAGTCAAGTTTGAGAACCATTGCTCTAACCCTTGAAATGAGACCACATGATGCATTTTCCCTTTGAACCTTGTTGCTGGCCGTGTGGTTTTATAGTACTCCACTGCCCCCCAAATTCCAGTGACCTTTTATACACTTTGAACGTTTCATTTAAACTTGCCCCATGTTTGTGATCTCAAGCTTTGAAGTTTCTCCCTGACTTAATCAACTTTTAATCACTTAATGTTTCTTCCTACTGTTGGGTTCCTACTTTGTGCTAGTGTGCGGTATGCATCAGAATCACCAGTGAAATTTTAAAAATACAGTCATCTGGCCTTCACCTCTGACCTGGAGGATCTGTGGAGCGTGAAGTTGTGCATTTAAAACTCCATGGGTGATGCTTGTATCTTTGTGCTCTGGTTTTATCCTTGTTGGCCAATCCCATTATCTTGCTCAATTCTCTGTCATCATTAGTCTGACTTCATGTTGTCTGGATGCTTACCTGGACCTGTACCTGGATCACTTTTCTCAGGCCAATTCCCAGCCTTGGGTAGGGTCTACTAATTAGGCTTCTCTGCCACTGGTTTGCTGGAGAAGTCACAAAACTGTGCTAATTGGGTTTGCTGCATGTCTAGCTTCCTTTTGGGGCCTTATGCTTTTCTTACCCCAGAAGCATTTGGTTTCCCCTTTTCCTCTTGGACCCCCTTTCTCTCACAACTTTGTGATTCGAGTTTTATCTGGAATTTGAGTTCCAGACTACCTGCTTTACTGGAGAGTCTTCATAGAGAGTGCTACACTGAGTGCTCAGATACTCACTGATTAAATTTTATTAGAACACTGCATGTTTAACAGATGGCAACTGGCCACTTGGTTGGTAACTGTAAATCCAGTAATAAGCAATTATCACCCTCTATGCAGCCTTATGTATAGCCACCTGTAGCTAACCTTTATTGACCCCTTCTTATGTGCCAAGCACTAAGTGCTTTATAAGTAGGCTCATTTACTCTTCACAACAACCCCTGAGAGGTAGGTAGCATTTTGTATTCCTTTTACCTGTGGGGAAACTGAGGCACAGAGCTGTTAACTAATTGGCTTGAGGTCCTGAGGCTCATAGTGATGGAGCCAAAATGGAAAGCAGGCTGCTTAATCTACAGTCTATGTAACCACTAGGCTGGACTGCCTTCCATGTAGCCTGGAGCTTTCTATGGGAAGGGAGAGCAATCAGATCAATACCAAGGGAAGATGGTAGTTGATGTTTTTTAAATACTGTGTTGTTACTGGACCTCAAATTTCAGGTTACCTTATTTACTGTTGTCATTGTTAAATTCCATTGGGTAATTTGGAAGAGAGAAGAGGAAATATGCATAACCCTCTCCATATACCCATTCCTCTCCCTTAATAAAATGTTGCCATTTTGGAGTTTTTCTTCATAAAGAATCTTTTTTGTACTGTAATTTTCCAATTCCAACTGAGAATAGGTTGTGGCAGTCTGTTGGCAGATTTGAACACCCCAGAATTGACCACTGGGAGTGTACCAACCATTTCTTTGAGGAACAGTTGGAAAATTCTTTTATCTGCATTCAAGTACATGAATTTAAGTCCTTTAAATGCAAATAAAGAGGTGGGGTTTGTAATGTACAGAATTTTTGTTAGTTTGCTTCAGCATGCCTTTTATGTAAACATGGTTAAGTTTAGCTACTTACTGGGATTATACCTAGCTAGGAAGTTTCTTGTGCCCTTAAATATTGGGGTAAAACAAAGTGGAACTCTGACAAGTTAGGTAATTAAATGGAATCAAGATGTTATTAAATTCTACCTACCAGTTGCCTTTATATTATTTCCACTCTTTAGAGCCCTTGCATATTTTTTTGTTTAGAGACATGAACTTGGGGCCATCCTCTAGGTGTCCCCTAGATCAGAGACTAGTCATGTTGGTTGACTGAATCTACAGAATGAAAGACCCAGAGTAGGAAAACAGACAGACTGGTTTTGACTAGGTCACAGCTTAAATTTCTGCAAGAAGTAATAAAAGCTGTAGCGTTTTTTTTTTTTTTTAATATTTTTAATTTCTATACCCAACGTTGGGCTTGAACTTACAACCTCGAGATCAAGAGTTGCATGCTCTTACAAACCTTCCACCTGAGCCAGGCAGGTGTCACTAAAAGCTGTAGTTTTAAGAAGTAGACTCTTGAAGTCCAAATCCATGGAAGGTGAGTAAAGCTGAGGTAGGGAAATAAAAATCAGGTTGAAAGGTATAGTATAAAGAGGAGTTAAAGTAGAATTATTTTTTAAAAAGTGAAGATGTTTTTTTATTTGGTTAAATATTCTAAGTGATGATACATTTCTACTTAATGTGAACATTTTCATTTGTATAGTTTTTTATTATAATTAGGCTCCAACATGCCTATGTTACTTTTTTTTTTTTTAAATTTTATTTTTTTTTTTTTGAGAGAGAGAGAGAGAGAGAAACAGCATGAGAGGGGAAAGGGTCAGAGGGAGAAGCAGGCTCCCCACTGAGCCGGGAGCCCGATGTGGGACTCGATCCCAGGACTCCAGGATCATGACTCAAGCCGGAGGCAGTCGCCTAACCAACTGAGCCACCCAGGCGCCCTATAAGTTACTTTCTTAAATTTCCCCCTATGTTTGTAAATCTCCTTTGATAAAAAAGGCATAAACATTTGTACACATGGTCCTGACCAATGTATTTTGTCAACTGGGGGACAGAGAATATGGTACCCATTCCTCTGCCATCCTTTTGTATTAGCACATAGAAATTAGTCCTAAGTTTTTTAGTGAATTTTTGAAATGCAAAAATCTGTCAGAATTAGACAGCTACTTACCTGCCACTTATCGATCCCATATCTGAGACCTCTTCTGGAGAAATATATTATTAGTCTTAGAGATTCATTGTATTAACGCTATTCTTGGTATATCCAAATATAAAATGAATAAATGATGTCATGGGAGCACTGCTCTAGGAAACCCTAGATATTTATATATTTGTTGTTCTAGTATTTAGGTGGTCTGGCCTCTTGACAGGCAGCTCTAAAGCCTTAGCCTGCCTCCTGCCCCCACAGTCTTGTGGGAATGAGAATACTTTTGTAAAGCTTTCCTAGAAACATGG